ATAAATAACCGCACGTAGGGAAACATATGAACAAAAGGAACAAAGAAGAAAGTGAAGAAGATTACAAGTTTAATAGTCATCATGGCTTGATAATATTTACTAGGTTAGAAGGACTTGACAACTTCAAATTCCTATGACATGCGGTGACCTACGTGCGGTTATTTATATGCAAATAATAAACAGAAATCATGGATTGAAGAGTATTTTATTCTTTGTATGATTACTTACCTTGTGAGTCAGAGTTACTGAATTAAAGGTAATCTGTTTGAATGTACCAAATTTTTGGATTGACGTCAAACGCATATATAAACCATAGGATATGGATAAATTATTAACGTGGAAGCACGATGGAATGTCTGGCAGAGTTGATTGGTGAAACCAAGAAGTGGCACTGCCATTATCCCTATTTCTAAAATTCTAATGGTCACGCGCGGCTGGAACTTCTCACAACCATGTCCATGGACATTAGTGTTTGAAGAACCTTGATGATCACGCATTAGAATTTTTTTTTTCTACGTCTATCTTTGTGCTCGTTGAAAATTAAAGAGCCTCTTCGATATTTAATTTTAATTCTTTTTACATCTTATATATTTTTTAATTCTCAAAGTCTTATCCGTCATTTCATTCCTTTTTGTTGATTCCTTTTTCACTACAATAAGAGGGACCTTTAATGACATTTAATATTAATTTTAGTGATAATAAAATTGTTTGTAAAATTTTTTATTAATATTTTTACATTAATTATTGTATGTAATGTCGATATATATATATACCGGCAATCATTCTGCATGTTGATAAAAACTTTTATAATAGTCAAGAAAAATGTATAAATTTTTATGATATTTTTTATTGGTATTTAATATTTTTTTGTTATTGCTACTAAAAGTTTAAGAAATAATTCGTAATTGATATACTTTTTAATTACCTTATCTCTAGTTGATGTAAAACTTGTAAGATAACGATTATTTTTTACTTATATATTTTTTAATTTCCTTATTTTTGTTTGATGTGTGACTTACGTTTTTCTTTAAGAAATGATTCTTAGCTTTTATACTCTTTAATTATCTTATCATCTAAGAGATGTGAAACTTGTAAGGTGAAAGTTGCTCTCTACTTATATACTTATATATAGTTGATGTGTGTCTTAAATTTTTTCCAATACACCTTCTCAAGTTTAGCACTATTGAACTTGGTAATGATGGGTGATCTGATACCAACTTATAATAGTGAATTATGGGTTTAACTCAACCTTACAAAACCAACTTGTAAGGTAAGATTTATCATCCACTTATATACTCTTTAGTTAACTTATCTCTTTAGTTGATATGAGACTTAAAGTTTTTTTTCCAATAAATAATATCATTAATAGTAAATTTTGGTATAATGTAAATACATTTTTAGTGACTATTATATATTAGTCATTCATATTTTTATTAGATAATAAAATAAAGACAATAAGTTTATTCTCATTAAATAATTAATAAGTTTTGTTTAGTGTTTATTGTTTTTTTTTTAATTTGTCAAGGGATATAAAGTGAAGGTATAAGAAAAGGCACACACATATCCGAGTGTTTTTCTTAATGTTGTACATGTATCAAAAACACACATATGCAATATCTTCTACTTACTCTTAGTGTTGATGTTGGAACCATGGAAATAGAAAATAAAAGATATATTATATTTCACTGAAATTACAAGAGTTCAACATCAACAAATGATAAAATTAAATAAAATGATTGAAATAAAATAAGAAAAAGGTTTAAAGAAGTTTGGGTTGAAGAATGCTTGGTGCTATCCTTAGAGAGAAAACGTCCTCATCGCACTGGTAGATTATTTTGTAATGTGCTCCTCTTCGATCTAAGATATGACAACTTGTCAGATAAATCGTGTGCAGCAAAGGATCTTTGAACCAAAAAACACCGCTCCAAAATATATATAGTAATAGAAATAATTTTAAAGGAGGAGAAATGAGTGAAATGTTGTGTCTTATGTCTCTCTATTGATTCATGAAGGCAAAATATATAGAGTTGATGCAGCTTGTGCAATACTACAAAAGAGGAACAATCTCAACATGCACAAAATCATATCGTGACTATGTCAAAGGAAACAAATAACAATAATATAAAATAAAAATTGAATCTTAAATAGTAACTAAATTAATAGGATTTAATTTTTAAGCCGCCAATAAAAGATAATTAAAAATATTAAAATATTAAAACATAAATTGAGTAAATAACATTTAATTAAATTTTAAATTATAATAATATTCTCCAACAATTGATAAAGAAACTATGTATTTGTTGGTTGTTGGTTCTCAGCCATGTTTTTTTAGTTTCTGTTTTCTGATGTACAGTAAATAGACTTGATTAAGTTGCAAGAAAAGTTATTTATTCAATATATATAGAATAGTTCTTCTATTCTTATATATAAGGCATAAATTTAGCCTCTATTTAATACACAATTCTTATATATAAGGCATAGATTTAGCCTCTATGTAATACACAGAGAGAAAATTTTGTAACTTTTTTTGTAGCAGAGATTTTAATCCTAGTGGTTGTCATGGGTGTAGATTAGAGTGCATTGCTCTAATTCGAACCACATAAAAATTGTTGAGTTCTCCATCTTTCACTAATCTTTATTCTCTTAAATTCTTGCTTGTCTCTTGAGAAAGAATTATCGTAGAGAGTGGACCTATGTGTGTGTGTTTACCATCTCCTTCTTAGCACAACAAGTGGTGTGGTGAGCATGGAACGTCCACTTATGGGTTCAGCCAAATATGAGGTGGAAAAGTTCACTAGTCAAAATGACTTTAGGCTATAGCAATTAAAGATGAGAGTCTTTCTTATTCATCAAGGGTTGATTGGTGCTCTTGTTGGTGAAGCCAAGCCAAAAATGCGATGATTGATGAGGAAAGGAAGACAACGCTAGAAAAGACCCATAGTGTTATTATATTGAGTCTTGTTGGTGATAAAGTCCTTAGGCAAGTTTCTAAGGGAAAGATTGCTGCAAGGATTTAGTCTAAACTCAAAAGTTTGTATATGACCAAATTTTTAGTAGATAGACTTTATTTGAAGCAATCTTTGTATTCTTTTGAGATGAATGAGGATAAACCAATGGGCGAACAATTAGATCAGTTTAATAAGCTAATTTTGGATCTTGAGAATATTGATGTCACCATAGACAATGAGGATCAAGCTTTGTTATTGTTGTGTTCTTTAACTAGGGCTTTTTCCTACTTCAAAGAAACCATGTTATTTGGAAGAGACTTTGTATCAATTGATGAAGTGCAAGCTACCATTAACTCAAAATAGTTGAATGAAAGGAAGGAAAAAAGTCCACAATGAATGGTGAAGGACTGACAGCTAAGGGAAAAACCTCCAAGAAATATAGTAAACCTAATAAGAAGAAGGCAAAGCCAAAAAAAAAAAGATGGTGGAGAATCTACTTTCATAATCAGGTGTTATCACTACAAGAAAGAGGGTCATACAAGGAAGGTATGTCCTTAAAGGCTAGCTAATGGTGGAAACCAAGAAAGAGGAAAGTATTTTGTAAATGTTGTTATTGTATAGGATGAAAGTTATGAATCGGTTGAAGCTCTGGTTGTGTCTAAAGATAATTCATAATTAGAGTGGATAATGGATTTAGGGTGTTCATGGCATATGACACCACATAGATCATGGTTTGAGAAGTTATTTGATCAAGTAGATGGTCTAGTTCTCTTAGGAGACAACAAGACTTGCAAAATTATGGAAATTTGATCCATTAGGTTCAAGTTTCATGATGGAATTGAAAGGGTCCCCATTGATGTTCGATATGTACTTGACCTCAAGAGTTTAATTTATCTTGGTGAATATGAAAAAAAAAAGGGTATGTGTTCCAAGGCCAAGAGGGGATCCTTAATGTTGTAAAAGAAATTTGTGGTTGTTATAAGGGGAATCATTAAGAATGGTTTGTATTCTATTGATGGTGAAGTTATGATTGGCTTAATTGTTGTTGCATCTGAAAAGTTCTTGTAAAAGACTAAACTATAACACAAGAGATTGAGGCATGTAACTGAGAAATGATTAATTGAACTAGTCAAATAAGACCTATTATGTAGAGACAAAGTGGAGAAGTTGAAGTTTTGTGAACACTATGTGTATGGGAAATCTTGTATGACAAAATTCAGCAATGGTAGAAAAAGACAAAAGGTATTTTGGATTATGTTCATACTAATTTATGGGGACCAACAAAAACCACTTCTCATTCTGGTGCTAGATACTTCTTGAGCATTGTGGATGATTACTCAAGGAAGCTTTCGATAATCATCTAGAAAACCAAGGATGACGCTTTTGAAAACTTTAAGAGCTAGAAGATTTTGGTTGAAAATCAAATTGTAGAAAAATCAAATGTCTTAGAACCGACAACGGTCTTGAGTTCTGCTTAGATTTTTTCAATCAATTTTGTAAAGAAAATGGAATTGCAAGGCACAAAATAGTTGTTGCTACATCGTAGAAAAATGGATTGGCAAAAAGGTTCAACAGAACCATATTGGAGAGAATAAGGTGTATGCTGCTTAGTGCAGACATATCAAAGGCATTATGGGTAGAGGTAGTCATGACTACTACATATCTCATAAATAGGTTCCCCTTAATAGCCTCGAATCTAAAAATACCTGAACAAGTTTGGTTTGGTCATACACCAAGCCTTAAACACTTAAAAGTGTCTGGTTGTGATGCCTATGCTCACATTAAGCAAGACAAGCTAGAGCCCAAAGCTGTTAAATGCATTTTCATAGGCTAGCCTGAATGAGTTAAAGGTTATAGACTATGGTATTTCAAAGCTAGATTTAGAAAGTGCATTGTGAGTCATGATGTCACTTTTAATGAAGGGGAGATGGCTTACAAACTCAATCAAGGAACTGATAGGGAAAACACTAACATGGATGAAGTCACTAACCATAAAAATCTCAATTTTGAGTTGGAGCTTAAGATAAAAACTCCTGAAGCTCAGGAAGTTGCTACATCCTTAGAAGAAGGTGAATCTAAATATGAGCATAAAGAAGATCAAGGCTATTAACCTGCTAGAGATAGAACTAGAAGGAAAATCAAGCCACCTGAAAGCTACGACTATGCATATTTGATTGCATTTGCTTTGATAACTA